TTGTACTGCACAAAATAACTTAAATACATTTTTATTTGTTAGACTGACTGATTTCTCTATTAAAATAACTTTTTCTTTCAAAAAGATTATTTTTAGAGAGCTCATGTAATCATTTAATACAATTTATTCTTCATATTTGATCATGTATTGAATCACAGAACAGTTTAGTCACAGTATGGTTGTAAATGTAAGCAAGATATATTGTGAAGAATGAAATTTGTAGATATGATAAGCTACACAGCGGCTTTTCTTTGGGTGGGGTGCGGTAACGCTAAGTGGAGACTTGTCTTTTCTATAATATGGGACAAACAAATGTTCATCTGTTGGAGTTAATGTTTCATTGGAAGAGCTGAAACAGCGGTTCAGCCTGTGTGCACCTCGGTGCGCTCCTGGAACAGTCACTCAGGACAGGAGCTGCAGGCTGACCGGTGTTTATCCTGCAGAGTGCTGCACCAACATCAGTAAGTCCCGCCCTGCTCTGCTCTGATTGGATAAAGCTGTGGGGTTAGTTTGATTTGTTGAAAGCAGCGTCTAAAACACACTTTTACTCCCTGGCTTTTGGCACAGCCTGAGACTTTTTTATTCTATTTTTATTTTATTGTTTTATTACTGGTTTTAGTGTTTTTAATCATTGTCTTGTGTTTTCATGTTTTGATTTTATATAAGTACAACACTTTGTTGCAGTTGTGGTCGTCTTAAAGGGCTTTATAAATAAAGCTGAGTTGAGTTGAGCTGAGTCTGTTTAARCCTGTATCAGACTGGTCGGCTTTAACGAGACCGCAACAGAAAACAAACAAGTTTCTCTTTTCCTCTTTTTTTTTTAAATACCAAAAATACAGACACGGGCAAAAAGACGTCGGTTATTGTCATAAATGTCGGTATTGGTCATTTTTTCGTTTACCACCCAGGCCTACTATAAAATGACTGAAAACTTCCTAACGCTCACCACTGAGAAGTGCCATTTCATCAAACTGCGACAGAGAGACAAACGCAGTTTTATTTCGAACTCCGCTGCATCCTGTGCCGTCTTTGTGTTTCTTCACACACAGCAAACTGGAAAATATAAGCATGTTATGTTAGGTTATTTAATGAAAAGCAGTTCAGTCACATATTCAGAATTTTATAGACAGTAAAAAAAAACTCAATTTGAAAAAAGAAGGATAAGAATATCAATAAATTGCATTTCATTACTAAGAAAAGAGGTTTATAGTAAAGACCACTTTATAATATTTATTTTTATTTTAATACTTCACTGCTCTCTAATTCAAACTGGAATAAAAAACATTTTATAGAGGTAAAATTCTTTAGACTAACAGCTTGCTTTATGTTATAAACACATTTCTTTGGTTCAGCTGCTTAAATGGATACCTTACAACACAAATACATAAACCATAGAAAACATGTAGCTTTTATGTTTTACTGCAGTCGGAACGGTTTGTCCATCCTTGCTTACCTGGATATTTTTGTCAAATGTAAACATTATCAAATAAAGTAGCGACACAGACATCTGAGCAWGTGTGTGACTGAGGTGAAGATCTGGAGGTGGTGTAAGGTGAGACTTAATCCTTTCATGAACAGACCCGTGTTCAGGTTTCTGCTGAGAGACAGGTATTTGGCTCGTGTCAGGCAGAGACCGTATCTTTCACAAAACTATGCCAAAGGAATGCAGAGAGGTGCCCGAAACAACAGGCAGCAACGAGAGAACAGAAAGAACATTTTGTAGCGCGTTTTGCCAAGTTTTAATGAAATTCTCAGATTTGACCTCTATTGTGACATTTGGGATTTGAAGGTTGTGGAATAAATAATTCAATAACCAGAAACTCTAGAAACTGAACATGAACTGTTTTCAGTGACGTATTGTTAAGTGCAACCTAGCGCTGCGCTGTATATGCAATAGATGGTAGAAACGATATGAAGTTGCTTTACGGTAGAAATTTACCCTCTACCGTCCTGTCCTCAGGTCATCACACCTGTGTCAACAGGGCTGCGAGTGCAGAGACAACTGAGCAGGAGGAGTTTGAAATATTCTGAAAATAAAAGAAAAAATCTAGCATTTTAAAACACGTTTAGAGAGAATTGTTTGAAACAATTATTATTATAGTTAATAT